AGAGCAGAGATGAGTATTTTGCAAAGTGTAATTTTTAGAGCTGTTTTCCTGAAGAAGCATCATTTCATATCTTGGTAAATACAATGATAAATTTATGAACTTGTAAGGATCTTTATATATTGCAGTTTGATGATTGTAATTATTTAATGTGCATTTAACAAATTTAAAAAGGCGTTATCTGACAGATTTTAAACAGTATGCGCTGGGGAATAATCACTGAGCATGAAATGTTTCTCGTGGTGTTCCTCTGGGACTGGCATTCAGACTGGCGTGTTTCACCAACAGAGTAAATATACAGTCACTCGCATTTCGTTTGCACATGGTGCAGGAGGTGATGAAATGACCACTCATACAGATTGATCTAGTTCAGCCAATAAATTGGATCCCTGTTAAAAAAAATGTGTCGTAATGCACATAGTGCAAGTTAAATGTAAGACCACATAATGAAGGCTGTACTTACCAGACAATAAACTGGAGGTGGGTTCCTCTGAGTTTACTGGGCACTCTTGACCACATGGGAGCATGGCATGGTGCTAAGGCAAAAAGGCTCAGGGTGGTCCTTGAATGTATAGGCAAAGGGGCAGTCTGTCATAGAACCATAGCATTGTTTAGGTTGGAAAAGACCCTTAAGATCATCGAGTCCAACCGTTAACTTAGCACTGCCAAGTTCATCACTAAACCATGTCCCTAAGCACTACATCTACCCATCTTTTAAATACCTCCAGGGATGGGGACTCAACCACTTCCCTGGGCAGCCTGTTCCAGTGCTTGACAACCCTTTCGGTGAAGAAATTTTTCCTAATATCCGACCTAAACCTCCCCTGGCGCAGCTTGAGGCCGTTTCCTCTTGTCCTATTGCTTGTTACTGGGGAGGAGAGACCAACACCTACCTCATTACAGCCTCCTTTCAGGTAATTGTAGGGACCAATACTCAGCCTCCTTTTCTCCAGACTAAACAACCCCAACTCCCTCAGCCGCTCCTCATAGGACTTGTGCTCTAGACCCTTCACGAGGTTCATTGCCCTCCTCTGGTCACGCTCCAGCACCTCCATGTCCTTCTTGTAGTGAGGGGCCCAAAAGTGAACACAGTACTCGAGGTGTGGCCTCGCCAGTGCTGAGTGCAGGAGGCCGAGGCAGGGGTTTAATACTAACTCTGCACAGGGCATTTGTGATGCTGCCCTTTTGCAATGCAGGAATTTAGCATCAGTCAGGATTGTAGATGGTGCAGGAAAGAGCTTCAGGACTATTTAGAGAGTTTAAAGGGAGCTCAGGCTTTGAGGTTTGAACCTCCTCTCTGTTATAACGATTTTAAATGGTTATTGAAGCCACAGGAATATTTAAATTTTATAAGCTAACCTTTGCTCCTAAACAAAAATAAAACAAATCAACAGCAAAACTCCTGAGCCCAGACTCCTAGTATACTGGCAGTGGTGATTTATTTGCCAATGAGTGTGACCATTTTGAAATCGAGAAACACTCTAGTAAAGTGTCTTAGAAATATCACAGAGATTTTTGCACATAAACTGATGTGCTTCATATCTAGTAATGGCAGTAGTGTGAAACAATATGTACGAGCCAGAGAAAATATAAGACTGAAATTTGGCTTAATGCAACTTTTTTGCCAACTTCTTTTGAAGCTTGACCAACATCTTTGCATGCCATTATAATTCCCAACTCCATATTTCAGTGTGCTTTACCTTCTGTTTTGCTGCTACCAAGTATTGTGCTGCTGACCACTGTTGCTTGCCTGTCTGGGCAGCGTTTGGTACATGTGAAAAAGGGATATTCTCCAGTTGTATGCTGAAGGTGGAGAATAGCAAAAAATTTTTCAAAGTCCTAGGAAAACTGGGATTAATTGAGGATGGAGATGTACCTTCATGCTTGTGAAGCATGTCAGTGCGTGAAACGTGGGCACGGAGAGAAAAAGGGGAGGGGGGCTGGTTGGCTGATTTTGTTTGTTCTTTTTACTAAGCCAGGAAGTGGGAAATACCCTACATACCAAGAGGGATTTTAAAAAGCAGACAGTTTAATCACTTAATAGATCTCACTTTATTGCAATCATGATTTAACAGGAAAGTTTTGCTATTCTGAAAGAGAACAGGTACTCTCTAATAAATTAGATGAAGCACATAATTTTATGTTAAATATGACTGAGATATACTTAACATTTTTTAAGGATATGGAGTTTGCAAACTTGAGTATATATAAAACTGAATATGTATAAAACTCAACCCTGTTAAGAGCATAACTGGGAAATAACAAGAAAATTTTCCATATATGATCCTTAAACTGAGAGAACATTAGAGAGAACAAAATTGTGTCACCATATAATTAAAGACTGACGATGTACACAGACAATATTTAAGTTGGGGCTATATGTGGAATATTAATTCAGACATTTGCTAACTTTTGAATGTTTCATTTTGCTATGTTAATAAAGTTCATTTAGCATATGTTATCTACTTTTCTTTACCATATCTTGGAGAGATGTACTTGAAATTAGTTTAAATAGGTAAGCAGGACTTATAAATGATTGATGTGGGTTTTTTCCTGTCTAAATGACATAATAAATAATTGTTGGAATATCTTGGATATATAAGCAGAATCACTCTCTTTATCAGACCAAAATAATGCTTTTCCTCCTTTCATTCCAGTCACTAAAGTGTTATGTTAGGAATAGATATGAGTATTCTGAAGCACTTGCTTTTGCAGATCCACCAGAATTCTTTTTCTGTGGTTCTCTGAGTCCCACTTATTTTAAATTCCCAATTACCTATCAAATTCACAACTAAAGAAACTGCTAATATTGCCAAATTAATTGCATATTTTGCATTCTTTAGAAAGTATGTATGTACCATTTCTTTCACCACGTCCTGCAACAGGGAATACTGACATTTATTAGTCCATCTCATATATGACAAAGGTTTTTTTGGTGTTGCTGTCTTACTACAGAAAAATAAAAAGTGCACAAACAGAAATGAATCCAATATGGGCTGACCCTTTATTCTATTAGAGCAGGCTGTTCTGCATGCATGTATAAAAATAATAATCAGTCATTAATAAACACTGAACATTTGTAATGAAGGTCTGGTTCCAAGACCAACTCAGTCTGAGCATCTTCAGAGGATTAATTGCTATGAGATCATATATCTCAGCTGCAGAAAGGCTAAATGGAAGTTTTAATGTGCTGCAAGCCAGCTGCATCAATGTGACTTATTCCCTCTAGTCAAGCCACATCAATTTCAGAAGCAGCTATTATCCACACCCTTTCTTTTAGGGTTCTTTTTTTAATATTATAAATTGCTATTACAGAAGAATTGGAATTGGAAACATTTCTAATTAGTACCTTCCTTTTGAAGGCTAATATTTTAAATTACTCCTGATCCATTACTGAATCTGTTAGGAAAAAATCAGGTATCCTCTTCTAAAGCAGCACTTTCTTCTCTTCCCTTGGAAGGGGAAGGGATAAACTTCCCTTCGAAGTGTCTCTCTTCCAACACCCAAGTCTGAAATGAATTTGGCACTGGATCTCTACAAAGACGCAAGGCAGGAAGAGTAGTTGTTGCTGTATAAATGTGCAATAAGAGCTCTCTAAAGCACGTAACTCTTCTGCATCCCCAACCCCATGCAGCACAGTTATGTAGTTCAGCTGCCTCACAAGCCTCAATACCTTTAAAGAAGGGCACAGGATTTTCTCTTTTTCTTCATTAATTAAAAGGACCATCTGATAGAATATGTAGCACACAATCTTAAATTAGGCTAGCGGATTAGTTTAGAGGATTTATTGTGTGTAGTTTGCATGTATTCACAGAATGGAGAACAAAATTCTCATATTAAATGGGGTGTAATTTTAAGGAGATCCATACTTAGTGTCAGAATCTGATGCCCAGTACATACTTAAACTGTCTTGTCTAATCCTTCATAAATTCCCCTGCCACCATAACTAGATTTGTGCCACTGCTTCCACCGACATCTTTAGTTGAGGGAATCCCAGGAGTGTTACCAGATGATTTTATACACTGCCAGTGTAATGGATTTGTGAAACCACTGCAAGCCAACACGAGTCAGAGCAGAGCCAAGGACAGTGTAGATTATGCTGAGGATGGATGTGGCCCTTTGCAGCATCACCATCCTGGGAAGCAGCAAGATGACTTGATCATTTTAAAGCTCTAGTCAGTGGTACCCACTGGAGATTTGCAAATCACCCGAGTATCTTGGCCAGTCTCCTCAAGTCAGTCACTGCACAAATGAACATGACCATGAGTGCTGTAGTGCTGATGAGGGAGAAGAAGATTTTCCACATGCCTTTGTGTGTCCATTTCTATCAAACTAACAAAGACATGGGAAATGCTAGTACACCAATTTTGTAAATAAGAGATATACTACCTTCTGTTTTGAATTTTACAAGATGTAATTAATTTACACAACTCAATTTTAATTTTTACAAGACAAGGATAAAGAAGACAAAAACAGATAGAAGGAATTTGCTTTTCCGTATGTTTTTGTTTCATGACAGGTATTTATAATATCGGTTTTATTAAAGGATATTAAAATATGTAGGCATAAGCCTTTCTCAAGGAAAAACTGCTTGTTGTAGTGTTTCAGCTTGATTTAACTTTAGGGTCACTGCCTCTAGAAACCAAAGCGAACTATGGCGTGAGATGGGTAACAAAGATTTCCAGGACAGAAAATACACTGTTTAACTTGGTGCAAATGATATAGCACCCTCTTGAGGTGGCCACAGGCATCCAGATCTGTCAGACAACTAGAAGGCATTAGTACTGGAAAAATGTTGCCTAAAAAATGCACTGAATCAGTGCATCTGATTTCCAGGTTCTGGTAAAGTGTTATCAACATGGGAGATACTACCATGTAGGGCTCATGTAGGGCTGTGAAATTTGTGCTTCTTTAGCTGCTGGAAAAAAGTTAGCCCAATACCAATGGTTAACAGTCAAGATTCAACCAATGTGACTCGTTTGGAAGCTAACTGTTAAAATGATTTAAGTATGAGCCTGATATGCCTCTACCATAGTTTCCAGAGCTGCTAATAAAGCCTTCATCTGTTCTCCAGAGGAAAAAAACATGTTTGCAGATATTTCTTGAAGAAACTGTGGTAGCTTTTGAAAAGTTTCTAGCTCTCTAAAGTATCTACCTACTAACCAATGTGCAGAAAATGTATTTTTCATCTTACAGTCATCATGAGCCATTACTGGAAGTCCATTCGAACAAGCTACCTCTCTGAGAGTTAAAGTAAAGGGTGAAGACAGATTATAAACTGAACAAAAATTCAGCAGCATCTTATTAAATAAAATCAACCACAGTTCTCTCTGCTGACTGCAAAAATCTTGTTCTGTGCTTTCATAGAAGCTTTCGATGTTCTCTTCTGGACGAACAACATTCAAAAGTTCTTGCTTCACTGGTATGGACTCAACATAATCCAATGGCAATTTTCCATTGGAGTCCCTCTGCTGTAGAAGGACTGGTCCTGCAAGGAAATATAAACATTAGTAATAACAGCACATGTGATTTGGCAGCCGAACAAGATTTTGGTTTGGTTTTTGCCAGAAGCTAGGAGTCTGTTTAAATTCCATTTTGTACTAAGTTATGTTGATGCAACCGATGAGTTACACATTTGCAATAATCTAGAACGTGTAGAGAGACCCTTTGTAACAGTTTCTTTACAATATTGTCTTAATTTTCTTCCCAGTTTTGCTAGGTTAAAAGCCAAGGGTTATTATATAGAAATGGAAAAGAAATTCAAATGTTGCTTATGCTAAAATTTCAAGTAACGATATATAGAGTATGTAAAAATGTAATGTTATTGCTGTTGTAAAATTACATTAAGTAAGTATTTTATAGACCAGGTTATTTGCTGACACTGACTCCAAATTAAAGGCATGTTACTATGATAGTCTATTTTACTTTTCTGGATGGTGTGGTCAACCTTGTCCTAGGCCAGGCAGCAAGGTAAAATATTGAGGTAGGAATCCTAGTCTCCCCTAACAACTGAGTTTCAAAATTTGGTCCTAACAGATTTCCGAAATGCCAAAATTTATTACTTTAATAAATAGATTTAAAGTAAGCAAATGGGACATGTTTTACTTGTTTAGATTATACTACATTCTTTTGGTATTTCTTGTTTATTAGTACAATGGAGCTATTAATATTTAAATAGTTTACAGATGTCTTGATAAGTTTACAAAAGGCCACATCAGTAAGAAAAAATGAAGGCAGTTAACACGCTACAGGTGGTGTTTTTCAAAGATGAACACATCAGGAATCTTCTTGCATAAATTTGGGTTACTATGCTAAAGTAATGATGCAATTTTAAATTGAACACATTTTCAGAAATATATTTTAATTACAAAAGGTAATTCACCGCATTACATATCCATACTAGAGGTTTTAACTTTGCTGTGATTAAAGCTGTATTGTTTTACTCCATCACTGATTATGCAATATAATTAAATTTTGCAAGCTGAAGGTTTTTTAGAGAAAGAAAGTGAAAAAAGTTTTTGCAGAGATATGTTCTAAATTATTGAGCTGAGTAAATCCACACTGAATGGGTAACATGCTTTCTACCATAGTCTTGTCAGCTATTTGACAGGCCAAAACCCAGAGTGTGACAAAGGCAAAGATAAGGGCACACGCAGCCTTATAGTTGCCAGAAAACCTTGATGAATGCAAGTGCAAGTAGAGCTCTTCCCCTAGGACAACAGGATCATCCACTACCTATTCTTCACAATAGCCCAGGAAAAATGCACATCTGTCAGTGCAATGCCATTTCCAATTGAGGAGCTAGGCTTACTATAATATTGGCTATTGCATCACTTAGACCGATTGAACTGAGCCCAGGTATTGGCTTGGCATGTCAGATACATGGTTCAGTAGATATATAAAACACCTGGGAGCCACAGAACTGAAGCTCAGCAAACACAGAGGTAGAACTGCAGAGGAATGTATTGATTATGAGCCAGTGCTTGCACAACAGACACAGAAATAGCCTTTAGGGGGCAGGAGAAGACTGTAAATACAGAGGATCTTATGCCAAGAATGAAATAAAATTTTGTTTCTCTACCTTAATTAAGTAATAGGCCATCTAAATACAGTGCATTCTTCTGCCTCATGGCTATAGGCAGAATGACTTTTATTGAAAAAATTTGGACTCAGCATATAATGCACAGAGATTAAACTAACACAGTAGGTCAATGGTAAGGATATTGCAAATACTTATTTTAGTAAATGAATTAAAAGAAGGAAGAGTTGATATCCAAGACCATTCTTTGCAGTTGTTTTTTAAAAAAACATGCTAAGTTAATTATATTGATACAGTATATTTCAAGACAAGACACAAGGTCCCTGTCACTGAACAAAAAATATTGTTCAAAACATTTATCATGTGTCTGCCTAAGGGGCAACGTATCTTTTTTTACAAACTAAGGCATCCCTCCCACTATTATCCCTAAACAGCAGTTATCACAATTACAATATAGATTCCTTTCTTAAACTAATTACCAAGCTAATTGTGTTCTTCAAAGACCATCACATTAATTTTCATAAATGCTGAACAAATTTCTGTTGAAATACATGAATATATAGCAATTTACTGATCTATTTTTGCATCGTGGTAAAAATAGATAAAAACAAAAGAAAATCCTAGCTTTGCATGGTGACTAGGTAATCTTTATCTTCATTAATGAGTTTGGAGAATATAGTTACAATGCATATGGTGTAAAACACAGAATAAAAACATTACCATATTGGAAAAAAATGTGAAAATCCTGGTAACTTTATATTCAGCTGATCAAGATAAGTGTGAAAACAATATTATTTTTATTGTGACCAAAACAGCTTGGCTTAAAAATGTTTTAAAATAAATATTTCATAATAACATTGTATTTTAAGCAACTATTAAGAAAAACACCATGAACTTCATATGGACTCAGAACAGTGGATAATTTCCCTAAACCAGTTTAGCATAAATGCACTCACCCCCATGCTGAAGTAGCAACTTGCCAATTTCTACATGTCCATTTGACAGTGCATCATGCAAAGGAGTCACCCCGTCCACTTGACTGAGCAGGTCTACCTCTGGACAACGTTGCAAAATTTCACGGACACACACTGTGCTGCCATGGTTACAGGCTTCATGCAACGGCGTCCAGCCAGCATAGTCTGAATTATAAATCAAGGGAAGTTTTAAAACAGCAGAAGTAATACTAAAATGTTAATAATGTAATTCATTAGACAGCAAAACACTTTACTTTTTAGTATTCATCATGGCTACAGTGGCAGTTTGTGATTTCAAAGCAAGAAATTCTATTGAAAAACACCTGAAAAAAATTAAACAGCATTTTTAAAAATCAATAGAAAATGTGATGTTAAAACACACTTTAGTTATAAACTAACCTTTCCTCAATTTTTGCTAGAAAGTCCTCATTTTGTGTTGTTTAACATAATAAAGACAGTTTTATAGTATAAATACAAACTTTATCACCAAACAGATATTAATACAGTTCTTTAGCTGGCTTAATTTCTTAGTTCTGTAGAGAAAATAAATAACTTACCTTTAGCATTAATAGATTACACTAGACTAGGCAAGATAGCAACTAAAGAAAATAATCAAAGTGCCTGGAACTAGGAGACCTGGCTATATGCCAGAAAATTCAATAATGAGTAAGATTTTCCTTTATCCTGTTTAACCATCTTTTAAGAAAATTCAAAAAAAACCCACAGAGCTTCTGTTCCACCAGAGATCCAGCAATGAAATTGTATTGCAAACGGTTTAACACAGGAATTATCTCCCCCCAGTTCAAGGTTTAAAGCTTCAATCACACTATAAAAGCACCAAGTGATCACAGAACACCAAAAATACTGGGTTTTGAAGCAATAAAACTTTAGAGTGCAGTTGCCCTCCCTTAAATTTATTCATGAACCTACGTTAAAATGTATGGTTCTTTTTACACAGCATTTATAGCTTAATTCAAATGAATGTTTCTGGCTAAGCACGAGTGCCTCTACACACTGAAGTATAATTCAGAACTTCAAATCTGTTAACAGATGGTTTGCTGTTTCTCAATAGGCTGTCTGACTTGGCTACAGTAGCAAGGGAAGGGGGGGAAGAGAGAGAGAAAAATAAATGAAGGCGTCCTAATAATAATAATAATAATTAAAAAAAGAAAATCCGTGCAAAAAAATCCCGTGCGTAAAAATCCCCAGCCTTAGTACCATGTAAAGCTGAAGTAAGTGTGAAAAATTGAACAGCAAGCAACTGAGAACTGCTGCTTATATCTAAAGACACCATTAGTTTCTGCATGATAAGAACTTCATACCCATTCTAAACGCTGTTTTGCTTTCACTAAATGATTAGGTTTGAACAAGAGCCAGAGGAAAATCTTGATGTCAGGTGAAAGATGATGCAACAAACATCTTAGAAATGAAAAATATCTCAGGCTAAATCTCTCAACCTGTGCGATAAGATTTACATGGTGTATTTTGTTATATTAATACCTTCACTATGTAAATCTGTCAGCTCCATACTCGTTCTTTCAACAGAAGATACTACTTACAATTTTGGCAGGGGAAGAATAGAAAAAAAATAGTTGGGTGGGGTTTTTTTTTGCGCTAGTCCTTCAGCTCACTTTTCTTTGTAGAAGTCAGCATGTAATAATTCACATCAATTTTACTTGCAAAAGCAATAAAGAGAAAGGGAACCAATTTTAAAAATGCATGGTCTGGCTCTGTTACTGAAGCTCTCTTAAATCCCAAAAGAGGGTGAGGGGTTTTTTTGTCCTTCAGTGTTTGTGATACAATTCTGGTTTTAATTTTTTGAACAATCCCAGCTTGCTGTTGCCAGTTTTTTCTAAGCCTTCTCTTGGGTGCCATGATTAATATAGTTGTGTTTTAAGTGATGTAGGTAAATTTCTGATGACGAAGACGACGAAAAGTAGTTCCAGCAAGTAATTCTGTTCAGGCTCATGTGAAGTACAATTTATTAAATTTGTGTAATAAGTAGGAACCGAATGAATTACTGCAGTGCTGTTTTATTCCTTAGGTACTTGGGTTCCAGTATAGCTAAGACAAAAGCCAAATGCCTTTCATAGTCTGGGCTGAATGCCTGGAAGAAAACAGTCCATATGCTTAACACAGCTATGTAACATAGCATACTCCTCAGTCTTTGTTCACAAAATGTCTAGGACTGAAAGAGATGAAGACTGAATTATACTTTCAAATCAGAAGACGTTGATCCTACCAAGCACAGGTTGAGGTGGATTAGCAAAGTAAGGCGGGCAAGACTGGAATGAGCTCACACAAGCTGTACACTGTATTTAATATCTGTGAGGGGGAAGGGAATGAAGAAGGCAGCTTTATTCCACCATATATACAATTCCTCCTTTTAAACAGACATCGGAAAAAAGAAACACAAACCATAAGAAAATAATTCTTGGGTATAAGCCATCAGTTTAGTTCAGCATTCATCAGGACAAGATTTTTAAACCTGAAACTGTCAATTCTAACCATATAAAGTTCTTAAGATAAATTAGATATATAGAATACCTTTAATATTTCGCCTGTACAAATGTACCTCTTCAGCCAAAAGGTAGGAATTCTCTTTGGTGTATGAAGCCTCAACTTTTGCTTTTGCTCTAAGCTTCTTTGCCAATCGAGGGCACTTATTAACGATTAAGTCACTGAAAAGAGAGCAAAGGGGACACATCTAAAATCACTATTATATATTTTAAGATAATGTATATGTACTTAATGCTTTTAGATGTGTATGTACAGTATACTTAGATTTATCCACTTCAGAGTTATTTCTGAAATATTTTAATTACATAATTTCTATGTCATTTAATTAGAACCATATTTAAAACAGTAATAAAATTAAATTACCCACAATTAAACTTTCTTTAAAGGTAATTCTATGAACAGTTCAACTTCTCTATGTGCACTTTAATTTTGGGAAAATATAACTACATCAGTTTGCATCTACACTGAGATGGAGGATGGGAAGAACAGGGGAACCCCAGCCCAGAGGTGTTAAAGGTTTACAATGGAGCTTTCTGTCAGTTGCAGTAATTTGTAGACAACAAAACAGGTCATATAAAGTTCAAGAAATGTGTCAGGTCAGAAGCTGTCCCCCAAAGCAGAATAAAACTGGTGATGTTATAGGTATTACTTACGGTAGATCAGGCAGCACTTTGACTTGGTTCTGCTTATCACCATTTAGCATCTGTAATGCCTTTTGAGACTCAGGGCATGGCTGTTGCCCTATTTTCTTTTTCTTTGCTTTATTTATCTTTCTTGTCTCCTGCATCCCTACCTCTTGCAAAGCAGGTGAATAGGAACAGACCTATTGCAAAAGTAACATTTTCAATGACTTTGTATACAGTGAATTAAAATGCAGTCAATTTTCTTTTGTTGCACTTCATGCAAAGCAGTCATCCCCAACTCACAGCTTGCTGTATCTAAGTTTTAAAAAATATGATCCCTAAATGATTGCATATAGAGATTGTTTAAAGTTGTCTTCTGCAATCTTTTTTATATTCTTGTAATTCACTCTTTATGCTGGTGTCAGAGGTGAGCCAGAAAGTGGGAAATTCTAGACCTCTCTCGTTTTTGGTAGCTGAGAAAATTTTGAACACTTCAGCTGGACATAAGACTGAAGTAAAGCTAATTGATTCTCAGGTACTTAATGAAAGTATTTACAATCTTCCTGCCCAACCCAGGGAGCAAAACCCAGGCAGCAATTTGGTAAAGGAATACTCATTCCCCTTCTTTATCCCTTCTAAGATGAGGGGTTGGATTAAACCTTTGAGCATTGCAAAGGCAATAAGCTAGTTATCTCTTAGGTGCTCTCTCATTATTAGGATAGCTTTGGACGTTGTAGATATTTTGGCTTCTTTCCAGTAATACAGAGCTTCCAGCCCACCTATACTGCTCATTTTAAAAAGCCACATAAGTTTCTGCATTTTGGAAAAAGCATAGGAAGAAGTTCAGTGAGGGGACTCATTCAACAATTACACAACAATTACACCTGAAGAAAGAAATTAAAGAAGTCTTTGAGTATCTAGCAGATCATTGTAGATTCTGCAGGCAACTTGGAATGGGTGAGGGACACCTTCCTTGCACCTTCACTGTACATTTATCACCAGAAAGTAGGAGGGCACTATTTCAACCCATAGAAAAGCCTAGCTGATAAGATGCTGTATGAGAAGAGCTGGCAAAATTGGACGATAGTTACTATTTATTATATGGAACAAGAAAGGAGGCACAGTAATGCTAAGGAAAGCCACAAAAAGCACATGAACTTGTTTCAAGCACTACAAAAATTTATGTTTAAGTAGTTGCAGAGAGTGAACAGTAGTCATGGCAATACTAAAAATAGCAATTTCTGCTGCATATGTATTGGCAACATACATTAAATATTAGATACATAGTTGGCTTATTTTTAAAATTCTGACAGTCTTTTGTTCAAGCTCTGTTTAAACATGATGCATTAATAAACAATGACTTCTGTTCACAATAAACCCCTGTAAAATTCAGAAAACTTGTATATGGGAAAATGTATAAAGGTGTAAATCTGTTTTTCTTTTACTCTACCTGTAGAATTTTAGGACATACAGAAACAGTTATGGATTCCATATTCTGTTTAGTCATTAGTATTAAGATTACTGAAATGAGGCTCTAAGTTAGGGCATGTCATTACTGTGTGATCTCCCTGATTTGCCTGCATCTTGCCAGCAGTCATGGTTTTGAGAATTTCTTTCACAGCTTTCATCATGTATTTCCTCACCAACTATCACAAATTGTGATTTGCAGGCAGGAAAAGGTTTGCAAATAGGAGAAAGTTTTTATGAGGAGAAATTAACAGGAATACACAAAATCATAAAAGCTTGTATGTAACAAATGCTTGGACCCAGTAGAATAATAGACTGTAACTGCTTCAAAAAACCTGAAGGAAAAGATAACGCAGGATAATCACACTATATTTGGCATTTTCCTTAATTACAAATATAACATTGCCATAAAGTTTACATCAGAGATTATTTTAAAAAGCTTTCATTGTGACTTTTCATGTTAACTGCATGTAAACAGATTAATCAGGTGTTACAAATTCTCTGGCAAGAAAAATCTTACCATTGTTTTGAACCCAGATCTCAGTCAAAGAGAAATTTAAATGCAGTAGAGTCTATCTACAGATGGAAGACAATGCATGCAATGAGCATGACCTTAGACCACAAACGAAAGATATTTTCCAAGTCTTTCATTAAACCAATTACTTGTAAAATACTTAAGTGCAATAGGTTATTAAGGAGTAGAAGAGTTACTTACTATTTTCTGAAGAGAAAGAGGTTCTGTAGAAATAGTTATATTCCTCTGTAAACACATTTTTTTAAAAACTGCTTCTGCAACAAACATTTGAAGCCAGAGGGATGGTATGGAACAAATGAACATTTTTAACTCACATATCGAAAAATCTGGATAAAAGCAAAGGAGGTAAAAAAAGAGCCTTAAAATGAGAATATACAAACCTGTACATCCAGAGTTATCTAAAAGATAGCTCTTCCAGACTTTTTTTCTGCTATTGCAGATTCAGAAGCTATTCTCCATGACAATTACTAAAAATACTCATATTAAAAAAGATTTTTTCCATCATCTGATAATAAGACCAGCTTCTAAGAGAATGGCCAACAGATTTTAAAAGGCAAAGCACCACTTTTTATGTGAAACTTTTTAAAAAAATGCTCTAAACACAATCTTATAAAAGTTACACCTTGATTTTGAAAATCTGTAAATGACACAATACAAACACAATTCAGATAAAATGTATGACACATGAACAAAGAAATCTGCAAGTAATGCAGGGTAACCTATAAATTCTACATTAAAATTGACCGTAAGCAAATTTCAACCCCATTCAGATGTACCAAATAGTTCATACTGTTTCAAAAAAACCCAAAACAGAGAGTGGCAGAAGAATATATATCTCTATCTGTATCTGTATCTACATCTATATCTATCTCAATGTATATCAGGCATGTATCTGGCCTACCTCTCTTTTTTTTTTGGAAAAGAAGACAGAGTGACTGATTTTTCTTAGAGTGATATTTGTGTTTTGATTCTAGCAAAATAATTCTGTCAAAATGGCAACTGAATCAAGTGGAAAGCAAGGTCTGCTACCAGGAATAAAGTCTTTACTGTACTGAGGAAATATTCTGTTCTGCTAAGATGTGCTCATACATTAACTGTAGACTCAATCAAAACAGAAACAAAAGTTTTGAGCATACAGATGTTTTCTACTCTAAGAGCAACAGAATTCAGGAGAACTCTGCAACAGCTTTTTGGGCTTTAAGGCTGTGGACTGAACCGAGCAGCAATGATTACCTACAGCCCAGAGAATCTTTACTCTTTATAACCAGGCTGTGAATGTTGTTCTTGTGAATGCTCTCAATGAAGGAGACCATGGAAAGTATAATTTTCCATTTGTGTACAGGAAAGTAAGAAAGTCTTACAGAAATATATATCCAAGATTCTCCCTATTATATGAAAGCTAGAAAATGTGTTGCAGAGGAGATAATAGTAGTAGATACCAAAAGCTCCATTGATTTAAATACTATAAAGTTCCAACTGATTTGGCCTTCTAAGACCTAAGGCAGGCTATAACAATTCTGATAATTTGCTTTCTGTAAGACTGGAGTGGAACTATTTGTCTAGAGACTATGATTTTAGTTTCATTTTTTCAGGATAGTTCTTCGCAAGTGTCCAGGTAGGAGAAGGCAGCAACACTTTAAATGAAGCCTATGTACACCTGTCTCTAGAGAAAATGGTGACTGAAACCAGGATATCCATACAGGTGTAACAGCTGAGTTAGTTTTCTCACTATTTCCTAATTGGGGGGAGGGGGAAGCTTTGGTGGGAACTAAGTTTGAAAATAAAATTAAAAACATTCAGTAGTTTTCTTGAGATTATTTTTTTTCGTCTTTTGAGTTTCTCATTCCCTCGTTGCTAAAAGGACAACTTCAACCAACATTCCATGTTAAATGATAATGGTTCATTTGAGTTGTGACATTTCTCTTTATCTAGTACATTTAATGAGGAACAATACTGATTCATGGGACTAGTTGGAGTTTTCCCCCACCCCCCAAATAAAGTCCATTAAGTCTAACCATTTGGAATGAGACACTAAAATGTTGCATTTGAAGTCTGTATGGGTCAAACAGTTCAGCATAGCTTTTGGACTTATGGCTGAACTGTCTTTAGCAAGCAAGATCAAGTTTGTGGAGTAAAAAATTTCACCTGAGAATTGGCCTGAGCTAAGGTGTCTCCAATTGCCTCTCTGAAGTTACGGCTTATTGTGATATGCTTAAAGCTCTTCCTAAAGTGACAGGAGAGCTCCAAAGATTTTTTTCTTCTTCACACTGTGTAGTCTTGCTTTTGCAGTTAACACCTATTGAGGCTTATTTAGAGGGATTTTAATAAGAAAGCCTCTTCTATTTGGTCTTTGCTTGGGACAGACAAACAAACAGACACATACAATGGAACAGTTTCCTGCATACATACACATCACACCATAAGACTGCATATCTGCAATAGAAGGTAAAATATAACTTGAAAGTGAACTGAGGCTTTAGTTAGGACTTCGGTGCATCTGATTAAAAGACTTTAAGAGGCCTTTCAAACACTCACCATCACATGAAATGGCAAGGTACTGTGCCAAATCGTCAGCTATCTGATGAAACACATTTCTGTCCATAAGCAAACTTGAGATGATCCAATATTCCACTACAGTTCCAAGAATTGCATTTAATAGACCAGCTATTTCACACCTGAAAGCCTAAATGAAAAAAAAAAAAAGTATGTATAGACCTGTATACTATATAACAAATTCACACTGATAATGTAGCAATAACACTAGAGAGCTTCTTTAGATAAAAGCCCACTCTGTTGCCACATCACTTCTTCACTGCCTTTTTCTGCTCAAAAGCTAACTGTTGCAGCCAGGTCAACAAAATTAATACGCCATTGATGCCACATCAATTAAGACTTGGCATTGGAGAAATATAAGTTATTTGAAAACACTTTGTCTAAAACAACATGCAAAATGGGATCAAAGCTTACAAGTACAAAGCGTGATTTTGTTTTAAATTATGTTTTGTTTAACTGTAAGATTTCAAGTACTGCTTTTATGCTAGTTAACCCTGTTTTAATCTGACTATTACAGGGATCTTATTCTCCCTCCTCTATTAGGATTTTCTTTTCCTAAAGATTTCATCATGACATTAAAGCTCCTTTTGTGACTAACTGTGTATGTCTGTGCCAAAAAGGAAAAGGATGCAAGGTGTTAGTTTCCGGCACAGAAAAAACTTTGGCACCCAGTCTGCAGGATCAGAAAACTTTCTTCTGCTACCAGAAATTCCAAAGAGACTAGCAGCTGCAAATTTAGAAAGAACATACTTACGGGTATTAGCCTTACCTTTTTCTCCCCTGAACCTGCACAAAATGATCATGTGTAGATAAAAGAGCCAAAGCCTATTTTCTTCAGGAGGCATCAAGACAATATACAGCACTTTAACACGCTAGCCAGAAAGTACCACGAGACAGACAAACATACTTGTTCACCCACGTGAGCACTTCATCAGTATTGGTTGGGTAAAGCACTGGTTCTAGTTTCTGACTTAGTCTGCAAAGGAAAGACAGATCTGTCTACTCAACACCCATGCAGAAATATTTTATGCAATGATTCTGAACTAAGTTATTTCTCTGATCATATGTACAACACAGAAAATTCGGTATTTATATGTCAGTTTTTAAAGTGCAAATTGGAAGAATATGTGCACCATCATAGGAACACATGAAATACATTTGCCCAAAGACACCTACCTAAGGCTCTAGTGGAGAATCACTACTGTTACACTAGAGCACCAGCCAATATGGCTGGGGAGGCGGGGGGGGGGGGGG